ATCATTAGAAACTCATTTATTTTTAATTACATTCATTCATTCGCTCGTCACCTCTTCCGTATAATACATTTATCTTGATCCACATCATGCTACAGTATCACTCTCCAATTAATTTGTTTCATGTTTCCGTTTATTAGAACAGCAATATCCTCTTATGGAAGTGGATGAAATGTGCATTAGAGACGATTGATGTTAAACCTGTGTGTAATCTATCGAAAGCGCATTGAATGAGCACTACTCTGATTTCAAAACTACCTCACTGTCCAAATCAGGCGCACAAGCTAAATCGATTTATTTCCATAAGCAAATTCGTAAGTAAAGTGAAATTCATTAATATCTTAACTTTCAAACTGTATGGAGAAATGTTTGATTCAGGGCAACAATACTACATATGGGGCATCGATAGCTCTCAGTGCGTGCTAGTTGACTGAGTCGTTATTTCTCATACACCCACTCAATGGTTTACCGAGCAACATCACCTTATATTTATTTATTTAATCAGCAAATCCAACTCATTGCGACTTTATGCCTCTCTGTTATCACCAACATCACTAATATCACATTTTTCCTTCTTCGGCATTCTTCTTTCCGCGCAGCTACCGATAATAGCGTTGGGAATCATCTGTCTTCATGAAATTCTAACTTGGATTATTGATTTGGCAAGCACAGCGGTTTTATGCTACTCTTCCATATTGCCCAATGACTTCTAGAAAGAAGGACTAGAAAGGAGCCCGAAAATACATTTCGATCGATCGATTGAACATTCGTCCAACGATCATTCAGAGTATCTTAAGCACTTTTCGATACTTTTCGATAATCACTATATTACCAGGTTTTTGCTCGAAATTCTATCTCATACTGCCATCACAAAATACATTTTGCTTCAAGATTGTTTGAAGTTGTTTGAAACTAATAAAATGAGGTTTTAAACTTGAATGCGTGAGAAAATTGGTCTTTTCATTTATCACTCGAATGGATAAACAATCTCATATTAGACAAGACCACTTTGATTATTCGTATCAACGCAGTTTTTGAGCATTCTCCTGTCAATTGCATTGTAGCATCTCTCATTGCTGTGAAAATGAAAATCCTGAGCATATTACGTGCGTCTTTATGCAGTCGCTTTGCATAAGTTTTGTTCATTTTATTTTGAACACTCAATCTGTTAACATCTTTTTTCTTTCAGGGATAATGAACTCAAAATTAACACTTTCGATAATTGCTACTATTTTAGTTGCAACCATCCAGGTTTGTTATGAAATTAATTCACATTACATCCTTAAACATTCATCCAAAGCGTTTAGCATCTTTTGGTCACTCCAAGCAAAAATTCATTAGCTGCTATTTAAATCATCCATATCTATTTCGATCCGCATTGCTGATTGCCTCTGCGATGTTAACGGAATTGTTTGTTGAATTTTTGTGTTGTCTCAGCGAAATTAAGGACCATTTTTTATCCGTTTACCGTTCTTGACTACCTACGAAAAATTCTACCTATTATGAATAATGAATGGAAATATTTTCAAATATAAATTCAAATATTTTCTCAAAAACAACGATTTTTTCCATTTAATTTCTCGCAATCGTATACTTAACATTGCTATTAGCCAAGTTTGGTTATTGCTATTAATGGCTTGATTATATGTAACATTCAATCTATGATTATAATATATCATCACTACTCCTTACGTTCAGAAACAACCAGAAAACATTCACGATTCCAGATCAAACGTACATAAGCATTTTTTCTAGGAATTGATGGAAACTCGGTTCACAAATACAGTTTAATCTAATAACTTGTTCATAAAGTGAAGCACTGCTTCCCACTGTAATCAGTGGAAAATGAGCTAATTCATTCTAGCCGACTCAATTTTTCCTAGTGTAAGCCCTCAACACGGTTCTAAATCGGCGATTATCTGCAGTTGAATTATAAATCCTCACATATATTTTCATTGAGTGACTTTTACGCTGTAGATTTCTTTCATAAAATGAAGCAGTACTGCTGACATTATACTTATGAAAAACAGCAGTTCGGATGGTTACCCGACCCGTCATAGCAATACGGCTGTCAAACTGCCCGGCTCAAACCATCCACCAATAATGATATTTGCATAGTTTTCGGTTTCCGGTAAAACTTTTCCCTATCATCGGAACAATTCAAATGAATATTCAACTGGAATTACTCTCCAGATTTGTTCCACCACTCCGATAAACTATCAAACAGATGAAGCGAATCGTTTGCGTCATGGTGTTAATATGGTAATGCAATCATTTGGATTCGGTTCACGGAACAACTCGCAACATCAAGTATGTTTCATTTGTGAATTCAGTTACAATTTATTCTCCGATAAACTGTCAAACAGATCAAGTTGGTTCTTTGATAGTCAGTTATAAACTTCTTTGACTTGGCTAACATCATTCGTTTTTGATCAAAATGAATGAGTCACAGTCTTATTGCTTAACGCTTAATGGAATTCAATTACTGCTGTTGTGACCAAAAATACAGGCGTGAACTCACAATCAAAACGATCTGTTCATCAGTTTCAGTATGAATTTACAATAAACAATTGCATCTGAACTAAAGTCTGTTCATTGCAAAATTGTTCATTGTTCCGTTCAGAAAACGTATTCAGCAACGATGAACCACTTGTTAATAACTTGACAAGAACAATCGTTCNAGTTGACATCTTGGTTACAATAACGAAATTTAATGAATAATCATCCTCAGTTCAGCAATTTCCACTTCCATCGAGCACACTGATTGTGCTATTGATGAGGATAATTATTCGAGAATATTTCCTTGAATTAATCGCTTAGGGAAGATTCGTCTCGATCATCGTCCGCTGCCATAAGTACACAGAATGTACATTCAATCGAATTCATTCGTCACTTTCAGAATCGTTATCGAAAATCAGAGAATTCCGAAGGACGAAACATCGCCGATGTTAACGCACTGTTGGAATCAATTCGAACGTTGCAACTGTTGAATCGTTACAATGGAATGCGACAAGTTTTTGGATAATTAACAAACGTATCCAGTGATCCCATTTATAAATGAAATCATCCACTGATAATGCTTTCGCACATGAATCCAGCATATAATAAAGATGTTTCAAGACCCTTTTCAGCTGCGCTCTTTTGGAACGACAAATTACTGTCGTTTCATTCTAGTTTTATAATATTGCAGTATGCAAGTGCAGGAATGATGTTCTCAACTATTGGATTTCAAGAATACAGTTTGGAAAACTTGATCTTTTGATGGTAGAACATACGTTCTCACTCTACTGTTTCGCAGAAAATTACTTGATGATTATGCTTTTCTTGATTTATCATAATATGAAACGAAGGATGAAAGAATATGAAATTATCACATGTGAATATTGCTGTATTGTTCGTATTGCTTATTGTTATATTGACGTGATTATTTTTTCGAACTCTAATGACATTGCGTCCTAACGCTAACGGATTAGTAAACATCAAAGAACCATTAAGCTTGCGATAAACTACTGCAGCTTTTTTTTTCCTTCAAAAGGTAAGATAGAATTATAGCTCAAGAAATTGTCAAAAAATTTGTTCAACTATTAGAATTTTAATTAATTTTGGTTCTTTGCGTAATGCATATATTTCAGACCGTTCTAAGATTGCTTCTATCACTAACAATAATTAAAGCCACATTTCACTGTGTTTGAGATTTTTCATGCGTAAATCAAATTAGAACTCTTTAGTACATATATGCATAAAGATTTCAGTTGATCGACGAAATCCTTATAATTGTTCATGTTACTGAAGAAATAAGGTAAAATAGTGGTGTTTGTGCGTTTATAGCAACGCCCATTGAACATCATCAAAAAGATTGTTTTAATACTTTGCTGACATCAACGGTATCTGATATAAAGTCAAAAAAAGCAATACAAACTTCATAATTTCAGAAAATCGAACCCACTGCAATGTTAAACTGATAAAACTATTATAGGTCGTTTGATAAATATTTTAGTGATAATATTGGCACAACATGTCAACAAAAGCGCACTGCATATTAGTCGTTCATCAAACAGTTTCGTTCACTTTTCAGCTCTGTCGATGAATTTGTTGCCTTCTTCGATTCATCCTTAAAGCTTTTGAAAGGAAATCGAATTACTAATTTTTTTTTAAATTTCTGATTTTAAACTTCAAAATTAGACTTATTTTCTTCTTATTAAATTCCTCGCATCAACCATATTTCAGTTTCGTTCGAATAAATGACTCGTGACCACATTACGATTGTGTTGAACAATAAAAAAAGAACCTTTCGAAAAATAGATATATGAATGTAAATGAATAGAGGAGAAGGGAAGCTATGAACAAGGAAGCGTTCTAGTGATTGCTGAAATGTCGATTTGACAAAATCAGTGGAGTGAGTGACTGAAAATGTGAAAAGTGCAATTCATATATCACAAACAAACAACGAATTTTTGTCTGCGTCATTTTTCGTTCGGCACTTTGTTTTGAAACGGCGATTCTGAAGTAATTCAGCTGCGTTTGCAACGATATGATGGATTGAGATTCAACAAACAGAGGTCGTGACCGATTTTTGAATTCAGCCACTTTTTGAATATCAGTAAAGCGCATCGCCTTCTCTTGCAACATCTTTCTTTGCATGTTTCTTTCTTTGCAGAGACACCAATAAAGTGGTGAACCACGATCATAACTGATTGCACGAAAATACGAAAAAAAGAACATGGATCAAGTCGAGTAATTTTGAAAATTCATCTGTTTTGAGATTTTTGACTGATATTAATTTATTTGCATTATAATTAACGAATGCTTTGATATTCTGTTTATTGAATGAAATTTTACTACTGTTTAGCAGACATTCACTTCAGCAATAACAAGTAATGTGAAAAGTAAATTGAGATGAACATGTAAAATGAACATCTGAGATATTTTAAAGTATTTGCTTCGCAAACTGAGATGAACAAAACATAAAGAGTATGCGATAATTAAGGATAAAGAAAGTGAGAATGTTGCCGTCACCAGATTATGAGTTTGACAATGACAAAATGAGCAGCGATAAACCTTACGAGGAAGAGGAATATATATCTGAACCAGAACCTGACTACGACAATGAACCACTCAATTCCGTCCGTCAAGTTTTCACACCAGCGGTATGGCACTTACTTTGATTGCTCAATAAACACATTNTCATTTCAACAGGATATTACTGGCTGACAAGGCCATTTTAACCCTCGAAACGTGTCTTGCAGAAAAGGATTGAGAGATCAGCAGCTGACAACAAACTGCCAGTTTAAGTTCATGGCAAATAACCGTCCCCTTTTGTAACAATAACCTGAATATACCACAGACTCTCAACTCATAGCACGCAACTAAAAAGCATACAACAAAAACTATTGTGCATAACTTGATAGATTGTCAACTGCACTCGTTCGGCTTCTTTCACTGCACTGAACAGTTGTTAGAATTTAATGAAGTACTCAATAATTTGAGCAGAGCAAATCTGTTGCAAACTCAGTATAGACTGACAACTGCAATGAATGAATTCATTCGAAAGCAATTTGAAATTATTGCAGGTAATAGTACCAATTCCAGTCACAGATTACAACAGCAATGCAGCATCAGGTTCACCACGAACAACCGCAACAAATGACAATAATTACGTGCCACCACCGCAAACGACATTTCGTCGTCTTTCATCAGGTATTGATTGAGTGAGTGTCTCAGAACCATTGAATTCAGTTAATAACTTCTTTGTTCCCATTCAAATGAAATGATATTCGCATTTGAGTTGAGTGAAAATATCAGCCAATTTCGTTCAGCATCGAATACGCTCAAGCAGTTTAGTTGTTAACGTATTCATCGAACTCACATTTATGACACAAGTTACGAATATCAATTTCGAATTTTCGTTAAAGATCTCCTCGAATGCCTCTGTTTTAGGAAAACTCGAGGGATTGTAAGTTAGTAGAAGGTTATCATTAAGTTGATGTTGAGATTAGTGATTTAATAAAAAATATAGAGGCTATTAGGAACTAATAAAAGCACGGCTGGAATATTAATTTTCATGTTACGCATTCAGCTGTTTCTTTTATTGATGTTTTGATGAAGAACAGAAAAGTACATACAGTTACATCAGTTAGCATAATTAGTTGCGAATATATATCTGATGAATATTCAAACGATATAAATGCAGTTAGCGAAATAAAAGGTTTACATTATTTAAGATTATGCGATGAATCTAAACGACAAATTTAATAATGCACAAAATGAATGGGATATTCCGAACAGGTATACACTGTCCGAGTTCAGTTTAACAATTCATTTAAACCAATGTTATGTATCATATGGTGCACACAGACCTTCATGGACTTTTCATGTAAATCCTGCAGGTTGCTGCCTCTCCAATGTATTTCCGTCCAATAATAAGGTGATATCAAGTCATTGGGAAACATATTCTCTAAATTTACAACCTTAAATAATAAATAAGTAAACAATTTTGTAGATCACCTATTCAATTGCGAAAGGACTCGTCACTATCTGACTGGATAGAGGATGTGGATCCACTTCAGAACGTCGATTATACGAAAGCATTCTCAAACTTGAGCACCCCAGTCGAATTAACATTGGCACGTGTTTTAAAGGATTGGCGCAAAACTGACGTTCAGGAATTAGACGTTTACAAAGGTGAAATATTGAAGGTAAATGGTTACAAACATCATTCAGCCTGTTACCATATTATGCCCGCGTTCTCAGCTTACAACTCTAGAGAGTATAAAACAGTATTCCGAATCGTTCGCACACAAATTCACATTTTCGTTTATAAATTGAACCAATTTCAGTGATGGTTTTCAAAATATTTCAGGTGCTTGAGAAAAGGATCATTTGGTGGAAATGTGAGAAGGACAACACCGGTGAGGCTGGATGGGTGCCTGCTAAATACTTAAGAGCAATATAGAATTTTGAAAATCATTTCTTGCTTCTCAACATTTTATTTCATTCCGTGCAATTCATTGTATACCTTCATACGATTCCGCTCAATTCGACTGAATAAAAGCATCACTTAGCACAGTTGATGGAGTGCAGTACTTCTTGTAATTAGTGATATCACTTAGAGGCAGTTATAGGCAGGTAATAATTAATCAATGAATTCGTTGTCTATCCATACGATCAAACACTGTAACATCTGATCGACGGAGGATGTCATAAAGAGGACGGGAACTCTGAAAGAAATTGAAGTAGTTTGGGTTGTCGATGGCAAAGTAAAATGACTAATGTTCTCGTTTCATTCGTTTGCATCAAATCAGTAAGTATAATTTTTTGGAAACTTCTGATAATTGTCGGAACTATAAATTGAAATCGTTATAAATATTTATCAATCAACGAAATGAATGAGCAATTATGATAAGAAGTTATTTACAATTATAGTATATATATTATGAAATGATGAAGAGCAGTGCAGATGAGCTGATAATGTACAAAACGAATCAATGTACAAGTGAAGCAATGATGGAAGTAATAAGGCCATAAAACTATGTTACATTGCATTGGGACGTCGTTCAATTAACTCCAAAAAGTAACGAGATAAATTCTACTAAAATGAAGTTTCTGCCAGATAGTGATCGTATTAGATGGTAATGATAATTTCAAAAAAGAAGGAACAACGTCAATTCCGCAAATCCAATCAGAACAACTGACAAATAAAATCGATCAGTTAACATTTGTAATCAATATCATCAGTTAGTTCATGATACAAGTATTAGTAGATTGCTTAATTCAACAAATGAAACGTTAAATCATCTTGTTAGCATTTATCGTATACGTCGAACCGTATGTACAGCGACTAAATCTTTCATCGATAGTTTTGAGTAAACAAATAGGTAAATTACGGAATAACCACCAAATGAGAGAAGATTCACGTTAAAAATCATCGGTTATGAGTAAATTCTAAAAACACTGTCAATTGGAATTGCAGAAGATACAAAAAAAAGATGATTCATTAAGCAATACAGCGACATGTCTATACATTTTGCACAAAACTCCTGTTTCACGCGGCTCTAAGTTCATAATCAATTATAAAAGATTAACAAAGAAACATTAGCTAAAAGAGAGCTGATCAAAATCAAAAGAAAACCCGTTGATCGAATTTATTGTAGTGATACGCTGAACGATAGGGCTGTTGCGCTGGATAGACTATTGCCTATAATACAATCAATTAATTCGTCATGAGAAGTTTGTCATTTTCGAATTTATCGAATAAATTCAAAACACATTTGAAAGAATCGTCTTCGGATACTTATTATCGGATGTGATGACTATGTGAAGAAGATGAATGTTGCTAAAGAATTATGAAAGTACATAATTAAGTCTTCTTGAATGCTGACTTAAACGGCAAATAAGATTACGTTTATACAGCGAAAATATAAACTGAGAGAGCATTAAATCACCTGGAAAAATATTTATTAATTGAAAATGTGTAAATGCTATAATAAATAAAATAATTTCCCGCAATTGTAAGCGAACAAAAATGAACTTACAAAGCGTTGTACCTCATTCAATATGGCATCACCGTAGTTGTTGGGCAATTTATTGAGCAACTGAAAGGAAA